CTGTGAGGCCATCACCTGGTGGCTGTGTGCCTTGCTGGTTACTGTGGTGGTGGCTGCTGTCAATCTAGCCTGTAAGGAGAGGCTCTGTGCACTGCTTATCTCTTCCTGTGATTAGTTCTTATTGAAATTCTGTGCAGTGCTGGAGGTTTCTGCAGCTCACAGGAAGCTTCCTCACCTTGTCTGTGGCTACACGTCCAGAGCATACCTCAGCCCTGGAAAGTACCGATGCTGGTATGCTTTGGACACTGATGAACCTTCTCTGCACAGTGTCTTCACCACTTGAGTCAAGCAGCTGGAAGTCAGACTGCACATCTGTTCATGTCTCAAGATGGTGCTGGCAGGTGTGCCTTGGTATCAAGAGAGGCAGCTCCAGCACTTGTACGCCCTGCCTGATAGAGCTGGGTGTATCATGGGGAGGGAGGTGATATCTAGACCCTGGAAAGAGCAGCGGACTCACTTTTCCATGGTGTGGTCAGTTTTGCTCCCTTGTCCCACACTCCTTGAGTACCAAAGACTTGGGTCAGCAGAGTTCCAGATCACAGTGGATGTATCCCATCAATGCACTAAGGATTGTCAAAAGCACATGTTTAGGCAGGAAGGGGGCTGTGAGACCTCAGGGGAGAAGGATGAGGGAGCTAGCAAGAGCCACAAAGTTGCAACATATCCCCCATCACCATGACAACTAAGGACAAACCTGCCTCTCACTCTCTCCTCCATACACAATCCATGGCTCCCTAGTGCCTACAGAATGAGCAAGAATTTCACATATGCCCAGCCCTCCATTTCTGGCCCCAGTGTCCCAGGCTCTTTCTGTCTGTAATGTGGATGTGCTTAATGGGCAAGAAGGCTATGAGGCTCTGCTGGGCTCCACCACAGAGCTAATAGAAGCAAGTAGAAGTTGTAGGTGCCCCCACACTCTCCTTTACCAGGTCTTGGTGGAATGGGAAGGCTCTCCACAGAGCAACCTTGTCAGAGCCTCCTTCCTGCCAGCACCTCCACAAACCTTCCACCAACCCAAGGGTCCCAGGGAAAAGGAATGGCCCTCCATGACTTCTGAAGGAGGAGGAAGAGTCTGAAGCCCAAGAAGTCAGTGAGGCACTGGGAACTTGGAGGCAGGGGCCAAGGTGCTGACCCCATAACCTGCAGTCTTCAGAGCTCCCAGACCTATAGGGCCTGAGCTCTCTTGACTGCAGTTTAGATAGGCCAGGGCTCTGTGCCTGCCCAGGAGCCCTGTTAGGCTCATTTGGAGCCAAAGTGCCTGTTTGTTACCAAGCAGAAGCTGCATAACAGCTCAGTGTCCTCCACATCCTCCACAAGGCTTTGATGGGGGCTGGATTGGCCCTGGGACTCTAAAAATCCAACAGTGCTTTGTTGAAGGCACAGAAGCATTAGAATACTTTAAGTCTGTTAATTTTATTATTTGCTTCTCAAACTCAGCTTCCCTCAGGGTAAGAAAAAGTTTGCTGGCTTGTATCTGTTAGGAATGGTCTACACAAATCAGACTGATGCTGGGGGTAGGGGGAGAGACAGCTGGTTTCCACAGCAACCCAAGAGTCTTTTTAATTCCACTCCACAGCCCTACTGCTTCACGTGGGGAAGCCAGGGGCTGCGTCCCACACCCTCCAAAGCCAGACTGCATGCTTCCAAAGGCCACCATTTCCACATCTCAAGGTTTCTGCAGTTGGAAAGATTCAAGTATTCAGAAGAGGTTGTTCTGGCTAGGGTACCAGCAGCCATCTGAAGTCATCCTTATTCGAAGATGAAGTATTTCTCATAATCACCTTATCTTGTCCTTGGTAACCCAAGCCCCTCCAAGAGAGAGAAGATGGTCAGTACTCAGACTGCTCACCAGGTGCGTGGTTCAGCCTCAACCCCCTCACTACCTCCTGTTCTCCCAAAAACAGCTTGCAGATTTCTGAAGCCAAGCAATACAAAGACATGCCTGGCCCTGTGGCCTGGGTCTGTAGATGTCTGGGGCTTGTGCCTTGAGCCACTACAGAGCAGCATACCTTGTTCCTTCTGAATTTGGAATGGCTTGTGTTCCAGCTGAGCCCCGTCTCTAACCAGACAGCACTCACAAGCTCACTTGGGTTTGATAAGCTCTCCCAGCTTTCCACAGCAAGCATCCATGGCTCTATAGCACCAATTAGCCAGAGTCAAAGGCTACTGAGAAGGTCATAATGCTTCAGAGGAGGCCAGAGTCAACCGTTCGGCCCACAAGATGTGCTGGTTGACCCCTCACAGTCCAAAAATCTGAGGCAAAACCCGAGGACAACAAAGAAACTGGAGCTGTCCACCTGCTGGAGATCTAGGACTACGCCTTCAACAGGCAGCACAGCCTTGGGGCCCTCTGTGTGGTTTTTGAGATAGGATTTGCAGCAGGAAACAGTCCTGTGGCCAGACACAGCCCCGTGCCAGCAATGGCAGGAACCTAGGAGAGATCTGGCCATGTCCTGAGGACAGGACATGTTTCCTGCAGCCAGGGTGGGCTGATGGCCCCAGAGTCAATACAGTCCCTGCTTGTCATGTGCAACTTATAAGCAGAACAATCTTTTTTACAGTTTTAAGAAGTTGGAAAAAATAAGAATAACATTTTACAATCCCTAAAAATTAAGTGGAATTCCAGTGTTGCCACCCAATCAGCCTTTTGTTAAGCGTCTGCATCCACCAGCAGGATGGGAGGCTGTCATAAGCACCTGGCCCAGAGCCTGAGAGAACTGTGATCTGGCCCTTTATGAAGAGGCAGCCTAATGGGACAGTCCACATGTCACCAGGGTTGCTGTCTTGTCTCTGTCAAACACAAATGGAAGTGTTGCTGAGAGGGTCCTTATAGATACTGTGAATAATGATGATCACTTGCTGTTTACCACACATGAGATAGATGATCCTGGCTGTCTAGGTAGGGTGACTGCCCCAGCAGTGGACAGGCTTGAAGATTACCTCTGGGGTCTTCCCAAGGAAATTCCTATCAGCATGTGCCAGAGACTTCCAGCCAGTTGTCTCCATCCCCACTGTCCCCCATATCCCTGCCATCTCAGGAGCCAACTCCTTGCAAGACACCTTTTCTGTGTGACTGTCACAGATGCAGAAACTAACACCCTCTGCTGGCTTCTCTGCAAGGACCCAAGTCACAGAACTTTTGTAGACAGAATGTGCCCTGAGCAAGGACCTACACCTGCGGGGCAGAAAATCGTGTTTCCTTATACAAAGGAATCGATTTCTCCTGTCCACAGTGAGGGTTTTTGTTGCCTGCATCGTAGTGGCCTTGAATTTGGGGTTACTTCACTACCATTGTCCCAGACTCTCTTTTCCTGTACTTTCTTCTTTGACCAACCAGTTCAGGGAGTCAACAGGTACTCTTAGATGACTGTCATGCACAGATTGGAAACAGCATGCAGCCTGATGGCAATACTGAGTCCACCAGGCAAAGGGTGCCCAGAAGGGCACAGACCTCATGGCACCTCATGCCAGACAGGCATAGGCACTCAGGCTCATGCAAGCATCTCCCAGGCCCACCTGGGGTCAGGTTCCTTGCTGAAGAATGACTTACAGTATTCCTAGTGTTAAGGGACAGGAGACTTGAGGCTGGAGCCACATTGCCAGGACTCCATGAGTACACAGAACAGCCACACAGACAGTTACTCTCCCAGAAAGAGGCAAATGTAGCCTGCCTGATAGACAAGGCCAGGCGGCTCCCAGAACAGCAGCAAAGGGCTGTGTCATGCATCAGTTTCCCCATCCCACGGGGGTGGTGCTATGTGTTGTGTACAGAACACGGGCATACAAAGGTCATCGCAGCACCTCGGTCCCCTGTACTGTCCTAGAAATGTGGTCTAAAGTGATGTTCTCCACAGGCAGGTCCAAACCTGGGCCCTGGTGCATCTGCAGAGGGGAAGGTGGAACAGCTATGACTGGGTGGAAGCCAGCAGTTCAGTGCCCCAGCATTCACAAAACTAGGCCCTGGGCTTTGTTTCTGGAGACTCTAGCTAGGGCCCAACTACAGTGAAAAGAGGCGATGAGCAATTTCTGGTTCTGGCCAGTCCTGAAAGAGGCTGAGGGACATCATTTGAGGCACACATGATGGGCTACCAGAGCCTGTCCTGGTCCAGACCCCCTCCCTGCTTCCCTTTCTGCCCTTTGCCTACCTACTTGACCAGGACCATCATCCAGGATCTATCTGGGACCTTGGCTGCCCTCCATTTCCTGGGAGAGCCACCCTGGGAGTTAAGAACACATATAGGGCTTATGGTACTGTGACCAGACAGAATCCCCCTGGGTCTCTGGTCCCTCATCTGAAGTTCAAGGCTCATCGCAGTGTCCTCACTGAGTGCTGGGACAGAGGACAATTAACCACATCTCACTCAGAGGCAATATACCGCACGGCTTCTAAGGCAAAGACCAAAATGTCTTTCGGTCTAATTCTGCCTTCATGATTCTTAAACTCCCAGGAGTTCTGGCTTCAGGCCCCTCAAAATCCAGGGTGGCAGGGACCTGGGGACCCCCCTGGAATAAGCACCAGCTTTAAGAACACCTGGAAGAGCAAAGAAGCTGAGTAGGGCTGAGAGCCAAGGAAAGGAGTGGTCAGGCAGAAAGGCCCCCAGACAGGTGGTATCACCCAGTGCCCCCACCAATATCTCCCATCTAGATCCTCTCCTGGCCCTCCTCTCAGCCAGCCAGCCTGGTTCAGGCCACCTCACCACGGGTAAAACCTGTGCCCTGGCCTCTTCTTCAGTGTCCAGCTCTATAGCCCAGGCTGGGGGATGGGGCTTAACGGTGAGGATAGGGAAACCTCTTTCTGCCCAGCCAGTCCCTGTCCACAGGCATCACCAGGCCTGCTGACTCACGCCAGGCTAGATTCAGACACCTTTGCCTCAGTTTTGGCATATTTGGATTTGAAAATATTTTAATACAAAAGGGTTGTGAAAATTCCTCCAAAATCAATTTTCTTTTACACCTTTATGGTTTTGGAGCCTCAACAGACAGGGATCAGCTTTAAAAATGAAATAATATCATCCTGTCCTCCTTTCAGAGAAATGCTTTAATGTGAGTTGTCTGAATCTGTTGGAAGCAAGCAGCAAACCTTGGTCGGTTGTCTCTTTAAATCGACTCTGCAGTGTGACCGGCAGCCAGCGGCCGGGCTGGGAAGAACCATTCCGGCTCTGCCGCAGGGAGCCGGGCCACCGCGCTGCCGCCATCCGCGCCTCCCCCAGTCCCCATGGTTACAGCTCCTGCTTCCCGGCCGGTCCTTCGTCCCCTGGCTGCCTCTGCAGAAGGCAGACGCAGGCGGCTGGCATCCCCCAGCCCAGAGCTGGAAGCTGCCTGCAGAGAGCGCATTGGATGCCTGCTCCTCCTGGCTCTGACTCACTCCCTCCGGGTGCAGAGCTCCGTCCCCAGCGCTGCTGTCCACAGTCCGCCAGGCTGCAGCCCTACAATCTGTTGATAACTCCACTTGCAAGCTCCAAGGTCCAATCTAAAGCCTTTCGTCATGGAAAGCTGTTCCTTGGCACGAGGAACATGTCACATCTCGCCTGTGAGAGACGTGAGACCTGTGCCTCTCCAGCTGCTTTTACCAAAATAGGTGAGAAGTTTGGAGGCTTAGTCCTGGGGTCTGGGTTGGGGGCAGCATTCTGGTCAAGCTGCTGATCAGCCACAGTGGCCACTCATGAGGGTCATTTCGGGGGCAGAAACACTGCCGGGGTGAGGCCATTCCTGCTGTTGGGAAGGCAGATTCTGAACAACTTTGGGTAAGTCTGGGGCTTGGAGCCCCCAACAAAACCTTGCAGCTCTAACACAGGCAACGGAATCCATGCTGGAGAAGCCAGACCCCAAGGTCCAGCCACATCAGGCAGCAGAAGGTGCTGCCTGGGGGTCTGGTTGGGCACTGGAAGATTAATTCAGGTTTATCTAATTCTCTTGTTTTAAACTGACAGACATGTTCATCTGGCTTGTGCAGCCTGAAATGACTGGATAGCGCTGTTGCATTGGGATGGTGAGCAGAGATTGCTCGGGGGGTAGCATTTGCCAGCTGTCAGGTTCCCTCCCAAGTCCTCAAAGCTCAGGTTGTTGCCACCTCCCCAGATGCCTCAGATGGAGCCTGAGCCAGGGACTCTCACAGGCTAGACAGGTTGATAGGAGCCAGGAGAGGGAAAATTTGGGAAAGGGCTGGGCGCTCACTGAGGACACCTGGGTGCTGACCCATAACCAGCAAAGGGCTGGGAGGACCCTCTGCTCACACTCTGACCATCCACTGTCTTTGCAGGTGGGTCACCCCACAGATCCTCGGTCGACCCATCACATTCATCCTGAGGTAGCCTGTCCAGGATCTCAACCGTGACTACTTTGGGACTTGACCTTCCAGGTGGCCATGGAGGCTAGCGGGGGAAAGGGCACAACATAGTGGTCTCTGCCAGCAGCCCCACCGGTGCTCTTGCCTTCCTAACTCTGCAGAGCTCATGGTGAGTACATGGCCCATGGGGCCAGCAGTTTAGGGTACCCTGTCATTCTGGCCAGACCAAGAGGCTGCCACCTCTGATGAGGGAGGCCTGAGCAGGAAAGTAAGTTGTGGGGTGGTTAGGCAGTTAGCATCCATCCTGCATGCACTCAGTCCTGGGGTGGGAGAACTCTATGAGGGCAATGCTGAGGGCAGCAAAGCCTGGCTGCCCTGGGTCTCAGACTGCCTGCCAGGGTATGTCTGCCCCTGGATCGCTGGCTGCCTGGCCATGTTCTGTCTGCTCACTGGCTTGCTTAATGCCGTTCATACTAATTAGCTGCAGGCACACGGCAATGTCGAATCATTTAATCCACAGAGTGGCATCCATCCATGGGGCTCTTGTCCATGCCCTGGGAAACCTCGTCTGGCCCTAAGCAAGGATTCCTCCCACTCAGGGCACCTCAGCCAGGTCATGAGCCCTTCCCACTGTCCCTGCTCCTCAGAAAGTCAGAGGGCTTATACAGCTGAGGCTACAACAGGGGCAGGGGGTGTGAGGGTGTTTCTCTCACTAGAAAGGGGTAGGGACAGTGTGGTCAGTCGGTTGGAACAGCATCTGAGACTTAGTGGGGCCCTTTCTGAAGGCTCCCACAAGCTTTTATTATGGTTGCTGCATGTTGGTCTCCAGAAAGACTGACAGCCGAGTAATTAATGCATTGTATGTGCTCGTAAGGGACAGCTGACAGGGGCCGCTCAGGCTGGGGTGCGTGCCGAGAATGCCGATGACCAGCAGGACAACACATCCACAGCCCAGACATGGACATGGGCGCCTTGGTGCAGACCTGTGTGTCTGCCCAGTAAGGAGCATTCTGTCTGAGTCACTGCCTCCCTTGCTTCTTGTTCCATTCAAAATGCCCAACAAGGAGATGCCTGATTCCCAGATCCACATCACCTTAGCTCTGCTGCTGGCTGAGGCAAAGGTTATGTCCATGCTTCTGACCCCCAGCAAGGTTACCTGTTCCAGGCACTAGCTGCTCTCAAAGGAGAGCAAGCTTGGGCATGGGGTTCTCTTGGCTTCTGACCCTGTCCATACTGACCCCCAGGTACCACACCCAACATGGCTGTCAGCCATGGAATGGTTTGTGGCTTCCCTCCTCAAACTCACAATGTTTTCAAAATGGAAACTTGCCCTTGGTAGATGACAAGTGAACTGACTGGTGCTTCAGGAGGCTGTGGGGTGGTTACAGTGTCCACTCTATGGAACCCACTGGACAGGATTCAACCGCCCAGCCCAGCCCCTCCTGTCCCCCTCCTTGTGAGCCCCTGGTCCTTACCTTCACTCACCTCCCTATGCAAGAAGTGCCTGTCCTCTGCTCCCTCTACCTCCATGCACAGGACCCACAGCAGTTGCCAGCAGCCCTGTGGGGACCCCTGTTCCACACAAAGGTCGTGCCAGGACCCAGCAGCTCCAGGCAGCCCATCCAAGAGCCCATACCATAAAAGCCTTCCTGTCAACTTGGCCTGGAACCTGTGGAGTTTTGGGGGTTTTATCATTAACCAACAGCTTGCAGGTGAGAGTATTTGAGAAACTCAGAAGTGTGAGATGGTCCATCTAAGGTGCCATACCTTCTGTATGTCTATAGAGTGCGGTACAGGTGCTGTAATTCATGTGGGACCCAAAGACAGGAAGGACAGTGGTTCTAAGCATGCTTGGCCTTAGGTGTTGCTCCATGGCCTCCTACAGAGTGCTTACTGGAACTTCCTAGACACCTTTCCAGCAGCAAACCACCTTCTTTCTCCCAGGAGTAAGACACAACTGGTAGTCTTCTGAACCACATGCCAGGGCTTGAAAGAATACTGGGGTCAAGCCTCTTTGCTTCAAGCTTATCTGTGTCCCTGCCATGTTCCTCCCCCTAGACATAATCCTTGTCTGATTATCCCATATGACCAGGCACCAGGTCACATCCCCCTATCCTGTACAACACACATCCCCAATGTGAAGCTGAGGGTATCTCCACCCTGCCCAGGGCATCTGTGTCACAACAGATAACAAAGTCAGAAACAAACCAACTTGTTTCTGCACTAGGCGCTACTGCTTAATTCCAGCAGACACCCAGACACAAATGGTTTTGCCCTCTGTCACCTGTGATTCTCCTACTAGCACCGAGAAAGTGTACTCAAAGGGGACAAAGTGATGCCTGTGAATGACAGAAATGTTCAGCTTTTGCTTTCTCTCTGCCATTCCTTGAGAGCATATGAATCTGGTGGACCAACTAAGGCACTTTCTCCGCATAGTAGAGATAGTTCTGGTTTGCCTAGCAACCAGGGGTGAGGAACTAAGCAGGAGAATAGACTGATGTGACAGACATAGTTTGTTGTAGTGTGGAATCTCCTGGTCTGGGGTGTGTGGTATGGGGTGTGTGGTATAGGATGGTGTGGTATGGGATGTGTAGAATGGGGTCTATGATATAGAATGGTGTTGTGGATGTGTGGTATAAAATGGTATGGTATGTGATGTGTGGTAAAGAATGGTGTGGGTGGAATGTGTGGTGTGGGTATGTGATATAGAACAGTATGGTGTGGGGTGTGTAACATAGAATGTCATGGTAAGGAATGACGTGGTGTGAGATTGCATAGTACGGAATGCTGTGGTGTGTGATAGTGTAGTGTGGAGTGCTGTGGTACAGTATGGTATAGTGTGAAATGCTGTAGTGTAAGATGGTGTACTAAGGAATGGTGTGGTATGAGATGGTATAGTGTGGAGAGCTATGGTGTGGGATGGTGTAGTGTGGAAAGCCGTGGTGTGGGATGGTGTAGTGTGGAGAGCTGTAGTGTGGGATGGTGTAGTGTGGAGAGCTGTGGTGTGGGATGGTGTAGTGTGGAGAGCTGTGGTGTGGGATGGTGTAGTGTGGAGAGCTGTGGTATGGGATGGTATAGTGTGGAGAGCTGTAGTGTGGGATGGTGTAGTGTGGAGTGCTGTGGTGTGGGATGGTGTGGTATAGAATGCTATGGTTCGGAGAGCTGTGGTATGGGATGGTATAGTGTGGAGAGCTGTAGTGTGGGATGGTGTAGTGTGGAGTGCTGTGGTGTGGGATGGTGTGGTATAGAATGCTATGGTTTGAGATGGTGTACAGTGGGAGGGTGTGATATAGGATGGTATGGAATAAGATGACCTGAGTGAGATGGGAAGGAGTAAAATGGCCTTATGTGATGGGGTACTATGGGATGACAGTGTGGAATAGTGTTGAATGGCACAGTGTGGGGTGGCATGGGGTAGGATGCTGTGACGTGGTGTTGTTCCTGGTTACCAGTAATTTCAGTATCTGAGTCTGGCTGATCAGGTGTTACTCTTCTCTTTTGGTTGTCACAGTGCTGTGGCTTTGCCTTAGTGTGAGCACTGTTAACTGCAGCAGCAGCAGCAGTGAGGACTGGGGCTCTCACAGAGAACTCACTTGGCCCTTACTTGTTGTGGCTCAGGGCTGACCTCACTGCCATTCGAATGGTCCTTAGCTGCATTTGACAGGGGACCCAAGTCCTTGTTTGGGGTTGAGGATCCTGATACACGGTGCATTCAAATACCCCTTGGGTATGCTGTTTCCTTTTCCACGCCTAAGTGCACATTCAAAAGAGATATGATGTGGGCTAGCAAACTGTAAAAGCCTGACAACCTGAGCTCAAGCCCCTAGAACCCCACATAAAGGTGAAAGGAGGGAACTGACTCCACAAAGTTGGCCTCTGATCTTCACACATGCATGGTCGCACACACACACACACACACACACACACACACACACACACACAGACATACACACACACAATAAAATACATTTTTTTTTGGTCTTTTTGAGACAGGGTCTCCCTGTAGCCCCAGCTGTCCTGAGTAATCGTGATGGAATTTAAAATTTTTTTAATTTAATTTTTTAAGACGCACTGGAAAGGTATGTGGAGGGAGAGACCCCAGACTCTGCCTCTGCTGTTCTATGGAGTGCAGACAGTCCCAGGGGAACTGCCTTTCTTCCTACAGTGCCCTGGTCAGAAGGCTGGAAGTGGAGCACTCTCTGATGCACAAGAGAAGCTCTACCTATGTGAGGCCAACTCTAGGAAGAATCAGGACTGAGGTCAATAGTGAGTGAGGAGATAGAAAGACACTGAATTGTGAAACGTGTATGTGGTAGTCTTGTTTCAGCCTAGCGAGGCCCTGGTGGTCAGGAGTTGATACCATGCCTGCCTCCTCTTACAGGCACCTGAAAGACCATTGTGTTTCAGAACATTTGCATTCTGGGTTGTTCTGTTTTGTTTTTGGTTGCTTGGCTGGCTTTTATTTGTGTGTGTGTGTGTGTGTGTGTGTGTGTGTGTGTGTGTGTGTGTATTTTGGTCTTTATAGGGGTTTTGTAGGCTTGTTTGCCTGCTTGCTTTTTATTCAGTCAAAGATCTAGATGACTAGAAACTTCTCAAAGCTATCATTCTCTCAGATGATCCCTTGCCATCTCCCCAACACTCCCCTTGAACTATGCACACTAAGCAAGCCATTAGCCTAGAAAGAAAATCTTCAAGATACTTTTCAACATGTTTTTCTTCAAATCTCTTTATGATTTCATCAGCCCATGTATCCCTCCTAAAAGAAAATCAAACAAACTATATTTATATAATGTCTAGTTGGTGTTTTGAGTGAATAAATGACTGTCTTTCCCCCAACAATATTCCCACGAAAGACTGATCAATCTGTAAGACTAAATTATCATTGAAAAGACAGACAAGGACATACATCAGGCTCTAATAAAACCAATCTGGGTTGGCACAGAACCAAGAAAAAAAGGAACCAAGAACAAGAAAAGTAACCAAGCCAGTGGCTCATGCGGGTAATCCCATCACGTTAGAGGCTGAAACAGCTATAAAGTGAGACCCTGTCTCAAAACAAAGCAAAACAGCTGGGTGTAGCACACCCATTAGGGAGGCACAAGCAAGTGGGTCTCCGTGAGATTTAGGGCAGTCTGGTCTACATATTTCACATAGCTGGGGCTATAGGGAGACTCTGTCAAAAAAAAAAAAAAAAAAACTCCCCCAAACCCCACAGTGGGTGATGATAAGGAAAATGAAATGATGGCTCAGTAGTAAGAGTGCCTGAGTTCAAATCCCCTCCATCCATGTAAAACATCAGGCATGGCCACATACATGCTCCTATAACCCCAGCACTGTGTGGGACAGAGACAGAAAGATCACTGGGGCTTAATGGCCAACAGGATAACTCCAGGTTCAGTGAGAGACTATTTCAAAGGATTAAAGCAGAGTGACAGAGCAGGAAATCTGACATGCTTATGTGTTCTCTGCACACCTGCAGGAGTGCATGTACCTGCACACAAATGTGTACATATATACACATATACCCCCCCACACACAATTAAGGAAGGAAGAAAGGGAGGAAGGAAGG